ATGTTACATTAAGTGCGATAGCTTGTGTAAATCCGAGTCTACGTTTAGCTGGACCTCCATTCAATTCAACTTATTTTTTTGATATAAAAGAAACTAATTTGAGCGTCCTCAGTATCATTATGTATGCCACAGAGGATTTTGCTACAAGAAGGCTCTTTTCAATTGCCTGTGTTAGTTAACGTACCATTTTTTGCTATAAGCGGTGCTCATTTTTTCCAAAACTGAATACTAAATCTTATCATCATTTCTGATCATATAATTGGACTCTTTTCACGTCAGATGCCACATGGTCTTGTATTTGTCTTTGGACGGCAAACCCATTACGACGGTATCGATATCCTTACCCTTCCTCCCCCTAAAGACGACAGAACCATTTGAAAATAACGAAACAAGAGATCGTGTAAGTTATGGCTAAGATATTGTTCCGTAAAAAGCACTGTAAAAATATTGTGCTTATTCTGGCGGTTCTATAATTTTACGAAAAGGGCAAAAGAGTACTACGTGAAACCTGACGCACTTAGTCGTTTAAAACGCCGATGGTCTTAGCTTCCTTTCACTTTGGATGTTCATCAAACAAATCGGTCTCTTAACATTTACCAATTATAATGTAAAGAACACGGTATTCTTTAGGTTAAGTGTCGTGACCATACAAATCGTGATGGGTTTGGGCACAAAATTAGATTTGTTTCATTTCCAGTATGACTAGCTGCTGGAGTTAAAAAATTCCCCCATTTCTAATCGTACTTGGGTATCGTAAAATACATTACCACAGTCACCACAATCACTATAATAGTGAACAACCAAAAGAAAAATTTGTCAATGATTTGAGCAGCAGTCTGCCATTTCTTTTTCTTGTTCTCCTCTTCCTGATCGCCTGACAGAGAACTCGCTACAGCTTCCAGCTTTGCGATAACTTGGTCAAATTTTCGTTCAATGTGCGAGGGATAAACGAATTCCTGAGCATTGTCAGTCGGAGAGATCTGCTTCGGTGAGCGACGGGGACTTGCATTCCCGTTTTCACTAACAGTGCGCCGTTGAACTGGAAAATATGTTGGCCAGCGGTCTCCAACCATGACTGGAGTGCATTTTCGCTTTGGCTGCTCTTTTGATGCTTCTTCTGATTCAAACTTCACTCCAAGGAGTTTGGCAAGGAATTTGAAAACCACAAAATTGAAACAAATAGACATTTTTGTCGATGGGTTTCGATGGTAAGTCCAGAGCACCAAGCAAGACACAACGAGAGAAGTTCCCAGAAGAGCCATGATTGCCGTGGAGTACTTAGTCAGAAGCGGCGTAACTTCAGAAGTCGGTGGAATGTTCTCTGTGAAGATTAGAGTGTAAACAGTAAGACCGAGAAGAATAGTTATGATCAACGAGATTCTTTCGCCTGCCTCGGGTGGCAAGAAGAACGCAAAAACGGTCAAAATCGCTAGCGCAACGCACGGGAAGATCAGATTGTTGAGATAAAACGTGACCCTTCTTCTCAAAGTCAGGTTGTAAGTGATGTCTATAAAAGGATCTGGACAGCAACTGTATTTGACAACATTACGCACAGCTTCAGCAGAAACCAAATCCCATTCACCGTTTAAAATGTATCCCGATAAGTCCACTTCTTTGCGAGCCAGTTTGAGGTTGAGCGAGGAACTTGTATAGGTCCACGATCCAAAGACCATAATGCAGCGCTGCTGATCGAAGGGGAAATAAGTGATGTCGATTTTGCAGACTGTTTTGACCTCCGTTGGTGCGTACCATTGACAAGAGCCGTTGTGGTTGATAACCACTTTGGTGTTGAATTTGTACATCTCCCCACTGTCGCTCTGAATGCTAAACCGTAAACAAAATAAAAGCTATTGTGAGGCTTCCGCACATATCGTCGAATCGTCAGTCACTATCAAAAACAGTCCTATTCATGACTGCATTCACCTGAACGATCATATTTCACCTGCTTACTATCTACTGTCAACTCCCTTTAAAGAGGACACTGTAGGGACCTTGAGTTAGTAACCTCATTATCGAGAGCCCGTAATACAGTCATCTCTGACTGCAGACGTTTGACCGAAATAAACTCCATTTATTACGAACTCTCGCCAATGAGGACACTAACTCATGGCCCCTAGAGTGTCCGCTATAAAGGGAGTTGACTATATCGGGGTGTCCATTATAGTGGGGTGTCCGCAAGGCGAGAGTTACCATTGTACCTGCTTCAAAAAGAAACCAAATGAAGCTTTATTTCCTCTCCAGGTCCCACCCCCTCTTAAGAATGTGTTTTGCATTTTAGGCTTGGCATCGGCCCCAGTGTAATTGGCTCACCGCTGTTGTGGCACCCTAGCTTGCGAACCGCAGACGTATTTCCGGTCGTCGCTTCTTTGCCTCCGAAAATTAAGAGAAGCGACGACCGGAAATACGTCTGCGGTTTGCAGGCTAGTGGCACCCCTGCCTATTAAGCATTTATTATTCATTGCTCAGTAATAGGCGAAGCTAATAAAGTAAAATAAAATAAATTAAAATAAACAAATAACCACACTTTGAATGGAGAGGTGAGGGAGGGGTCCAGGCTGATTTGCTCTCGAAAATATACCCCAGTTAACGGTGTCTCGACAATTTTGTCGCTGATTGTAAGTAAAAATTTTGAAACACTCGCGACATTTAAATGATAAATAGTACAAAGAAGGAAAAGGAGGATATATACTACCTGTTGTAAAGAACAATATCCGGCTTCCAAATGAGTTTTGGATCAATATTTATAAACTTTACACCCCCATAATCATCCGGATTCCACTTCAGGAAAGGATTATTCCAACTCTGAAAAAAGAAATCGAAAAGTGAACAACGCGAATTTTTCTGAAGAAAACTGATTCTTAAGGCAACGAAACGAGGAAGAAGAAGAAAACTGAATGTTTTTAATTTTTGAGGATTTTTTGACCGACAAATACTGTATTTTTCTCGCCTTTGTCCTGGCCAAGGTTGTTCAAAAGCTGGATAGCGCTATCCACCGGATAAATCACTATCCAGCAGATACGTATTACGGGAAACAGTTGCGTTATACGCTGGATAGTGATTTATCCGCTGGATAGCGCTATCCAACGTTTGAACAACCGAGGCCTGGAGGCTAAGAGTCAGAACTGGGCGGCCGGACCGGTCATTTTGAAAGAGAAATGTTTGGATGACTAATGTATAGTGATTAATATTGAAATTCTCCTTACAACTGGACTGGTCTGGCCTGCCAAACAAATGGAAAAACGCCCAAAAAGCGCCCCAAGTTTCCCGCCAAATGGAAGAGGAGGCTAGGCTGCTAAGCAAGATCCAAAATGGCGGCGCGCGATCCTGATTTGACTGTGTTTGCAGGTTTTGCATCCGTGTTTGCAGGAGAATTTTATTTAACATCAGGTGGATATGAAAGCTCGGAGAATGGTCAGTCGCTAAACACATTAAAACAACTTCAGAATACCCTGCCACTTGTCGGAACGCTTTATAAAATAGCAAGGCAATACACATTAGGCGATTCAAATGTTAAAGATGGCGGAGTGTTCCGAAATTTGGCCATAGGCCGTTCTTTAAAACGTTCCGCCAAGTGGCTAGGTATTTTGAATTTCCTCCTGTGATCCAACCATTGAATCCAACCTTGGTATTTTGGAAACCATATCAGTCCCATTTTATCAACCAACTTCTGTGACCATCTCAAAAGCCGAAGCTCCTTTGGTTACTGTGTACATTTCAAATTTCGCCTTTCATGATTTCTGTTATTTTTTGTTCTACATTTTGTCTTGCTTTTGTAATTTATTGTGATTTTTGTTGCATCCTCTTGAAAAAGTGCAAAAAAAAAAGAAAGAATAAAATAATAAATAAATAAGTAAATCTGAAAATCTGTTTTTTCCAACAGTGAGAATGTGTCGATAGGAGCATTTTTTTACAATCCTGAGCATCATGTCAGACTGTAAAAACATTAGGCAAAAAATTTTCAAACCAAAATAAATGTCAAATTAGGGTGTGAACATAATAAGACCTTCTGTCTCCATCTTGCTTGTATATCTGGGTAGCCCATCCTGGGGGCACATTCCCATCTAGGTAAAATAAATGAGTGCCTCTCCTGGGCTGGGTACCCTTCCCAACCCTTCCCTTCTCCCAAAATCACAGGGTTCAGGTGTAGAGAAGACATTTGTGTTATACCTGTCTGATCCATACTTTGCTTGTCATAATCTGGCTGCGTCCATTCTGTAATAAGACCGACAATAAGAAAGTCATTGCGGAGCGCTGGCTGCTGGTTAATTTCACTGGCTGAAAAAGAGCTTACCACCAGCTCAAATTGCTCTGGGAAATGAAGACATGATGTAATTTTAAGGTTCTGTTGCGTAAAAAAGCGGGCTTGACTAATAAAAAAACCTTTTTGGCTTTTTCTTGGCTACATCCCTGTACATGATTGTCAACAAGAGTCTGACACCAGTCTGTTGCAAATAATAGGCCTTGTTTTTTCTGTGAAAACAGGTCCTTGTTGCATAAGAAAGACACATAACTTACTAAGTGGCCAGGGCTAGTTGTAATACTCAGTCATTGATTTAATAAAAGACAGTGTGACTCAAGATTCCATTGTCCTGTTGTGGTTTCTTTTTAGTATGACCCTGATGCACTTACCAGTTCCACTAGCTGACTGAACATCATATCAAAGTTAACAACCACTGGTTTATCCTTGCTAATGATGGGTCTCACTTCCTTGCTGTAATTCGCGAACACATCCCGCAAGAGGCGGTGCTCTGGATCAAGGTGAGGCTGACCTAAAAGTTATAAAAACTCATTTATGGTTTTCTATTATTACACAGCAGTAGAATAACTACTATACTAAAAGATCAGTGGTAAGGCCTTGGGGAAGGTGGTGAGTGGCTCACTCAATCAGCAAAAATAAAAATAAATAAATAGACAAAAATAATAATGCTTTTTCATTTCCTGACCATTCTATGTATATGAATCCTGGTCACTGCCTTACAAGATTTTTTTTTTGGGGGGGGGTCATAAATTCACTGGGCAATTTACCACAAGAAGACAAAATTAGTAACAAGAGTCTCGTTTGTTGCAAGCTCTCTATTTTGGCTAATAAGGACCTCTTGCCAGTAGGCGGGGGAGGCCCAAGGTGGCTCTAAATATTATAAGATTCTGTGTCTCCTCTGAGACTTGTGCTCAGGCCCCTGAGCCTAGAAAAGCCAATGAGTGGGCCCTGAGGATGAGAATTAACTGGCTTGAAAAATCACTAGTCACCAGTCCCTGAACTGGAGACTCAAATATGGTTCACTGTTCATAGTCAGTGAAAATCTCTATCTGAAAACAATGATGTTAGATGTCAAAGTTCTAATAATTTTGGTAGAATAGTAACAGAAGTTCAAAACAGTATTTAACTGCTATGCAGCTTTCATATTTAATGGCAAATATTTCATTTACATTACTGGGGTACCTAGTAAATAGAAGCAAGATGGCATATTAAGAAACGGTCCAGATAAGAACGATTGCAACAACAGCAACGAACATTTTGGAATGCAAAAAAGGTGCTAACTTTTCTATTGTCTGTACTTACTTCTGATTGGCTTAAACAGAAAAAGTTAACAAAACTTCATAAAGCAGTACATATATTCATCCTTACTTTCCAACCATCTTCCATATAACAAAATCTGGTGTCAGTTTGAATAACAAAGAAATCCTATGTGGGGAACATGTAAAATTGTAAACTTTTCTTGGCTATTGTTTTCAACTCTTGTGATTGGTCAAAATCTTTTAACGCAAAAAAACACTCTTTCAAAGTGGAGTGTAAATGCATTTTATTGCGTAAACGGCCTTCATGTAGGTTTATGCATTCTCTGTGTAAAAATGAGAACATTCCTATGTGGGGAAAGCACCGTTGCCGCATAACAAAAGAAATTGCTATCCACCTTACCCGGATCATTACTTAAAGAGTACTGTTGTTTCTGGCTAGGAAGCTTGAAAGTAAAGACAGTGTGGATGGTGCTTTAAATGTATATTTTTAAGTGTGAGTTCCATTGTTAAGTGCCATACTTTCAGGGTTACTGGTATTCCACGGTTCCATTTTTCAACAACATTTTCAAATGATAAATTGCAAAAACTATATTACCATAAAAAATTATGACTTTTTTAGACTTAGACCTATTGCAAAGAACTCCTTAAGCAGATTCAGATGTTTACATATCCTTCGGTATTTTTGTTTGTCGACTGTGTTTTTACCCACAGCAGGTAGCGACCTGCTTGTTACCGAACCACCTACTGTTCAATACACAGTTGGTTTTATGACGTCATCACTTTAGTACTCTATTGATTGTTAATGAAGCACAATGATATGTTTAAAAAACAATTCAGACTCTTTTGGTTTATTTAATATTCTTCTAGAAAAGCTAATAGCAGGATAATTTCATTTAAAGGAAGCATGCAAAACCCGAGTGTATATGTTAAATAAACAAGAAATGCAACTTCTCACACAGCGGCCAAGGGAACAAACGGCTTAGAAGAGCTTTTTGTATGATGTTACATGTACGTTCAGCCGAACAGAACAATTCTGGCACAGCGTTATTTTTGGTTCATTTCTCAAAGTGAACGAATGTTTTGCTCATGGCAGTTATTAACACTATAAACACAAAATTTACTTGCCGAAAAAATTTGCTTGACTGAAACAGCTACACAGAGTACGGACAACTCGCGGCTTTTTTCCTCAGGGTACAAACAGACAATCACGCCAACGCGCAAAAATGTCCGCTAGTGTCGGACGTGGCGTCGCCTGTTAGTTTACAACAACGGTGATTTTAAACTATTCAGTTGAAATTTGCAAAAGTTTACACTTTTAAAGAACATGTTTCTTTGGTTTGAGCTGGATTAGTGCGTCTAACTTCTACAACTTAATGAAGTAATGAAAAAAAAGTGCTCTAAAGAAGAAATTAATACTATTGAAGAAGGCTTAAGTTAATTTACACACCCCAAATCAGCAAACATTTATTTTAGCAGTCAAGATCTCATAGTATTGAATTCTGGGAACGGCAAGGGTTGATGGATTGACTGACCCTCTTCCCTATACACAGTTGCCAGTTCAACCCCTCAAACCAGCAATGTCAGGTGCTTTCAAAGGGGTTTAAAATGTGCAAACCCTATGCGATGCAGATATTATCAACAATTGCTTAGTGACCCAGTTCTTATGCCCTCAGGAACTAATCAAAGAGACTCGTAAACAGGATAACTACTTTTCAATTTATCTTCATTATTTCGTGACAGTTACCCCGATGACTGGTTTTTATGTTTTCACATTTACTTTGTCTCATACAAGGTACAAACTACCTACAAGGTTGGATTGAAAACCAGCCTGTCATAAAAGCGTGATTGCTTGAAACGAAGACAATTAGTACCGGCATAAGACACTACGGATCCTAGCAGTTGGCAGGACGCGTGTCACCCACATAAACCTGTGGGCCTCTTTATAACTCAGCTGGTTAGATCGTCCGCCCTGTTTAAGGAATGTTACGGTTCGAATCTCGACTGGAATCTCGTCAGTTTGTCCAATGCTCGTGACATGCTAAGACAGATACCACCACAGGAATATTCCGAGAATTCGCTAGCCATTTTATTAGAAAGTAGTTACTGCTTGGAAAAAAAGACAAAAAAAAAAAAAGAAAAAAAATTTGCAACAAATTGATTGTGGTGTAGCTGTTTTGTCCTTCGCCTTCATTGTGCATAACGTGAGCTGTGTTATGCCTATGCTTTGTGTCTTATTCAACGTCTACATACATGAGCTAATTCGTAAAAAGCATCTGAAAATCCAAAAATCTTTAAACGCCGAGAAGTTTTTAATATAACCTTGTGAAAAGAACAGACAAATTAGATGTCGCATATGTAGACGGGTGGAATGGAAAAATTTGTTACGGAAGCTTGCACTTATCTATCGAACCCCATAAGTTTGGCTACTAACTGTTGATCTGTACTGGCCGATGATTATCCCTACTTTATGTTACTCTTAGTTTCATCGCCTTACGTTGTCATAATACAGTATAGTCAGACGAAGGCGCAAGCGGAGCGTTGGTTTGTCATAACTTTCCGGCTCTGATCTTATCTGGAAAAATTACTTTTAATTAAATGGTGCTTCGAAGTTGTTGGCATTCATTTGTACGTTAACTGAAATTCGTTTATCATAGTGGTCGGTTTTGAAGTGCAAAATCGTTGTGTTAATCATTACCTCTCGCTACGCTTCTGTCGAGACCACCATTTAACTTGTTGAGTACCAAAAGTGTACTGTCTTTCGTTATGAGAGTTACTACAGACTAGGACCACAGCCGGTGATAATTATTGATTATTAGCAAGTTGTTTACAGGTCAAGGGTACTCTATACCGAATGTTGCAAGTAATTACAAGGACCCAGAACCGTCTGTTTCTTTAACAGAAACATCTCACATGGTTTATTTTATCTAGCTAGCTTAAGAATTGAAACGACCCAATGATGCGTTGTGTTGTATAGACGTTAAAGCGCCTCAACTAATCAGACAACAGACAAGAAGAACCTGCTCATTTACTGCCACTACTTCCTGTGATTTTTATAAGCCAGAAACAACGGAAAATGGCAGTTCAAATTCAAAACAATCTGTTTAATTAATAAGCTAAAAATATAAACAATATAAGTTTAGCAACTGAAGCTACAAGCAAGCATTCGACGGTAATTTTCATTTAGGAATGCAAAAACTTACCGGCAGATACTTTGAGAAAGTACACTATTGTCAGTGCGAATAGTGGTCCAAAAGGGAACATATCTGGAGCTCGCATAAGAACAGATAAGAATCACAGACTAAAGTAACACGCTTCAAAATATACAAAACAGCCTCACTTCTGCATTCAAATGGCACTTAAACTCGAACAATTGTTCTTTTTCTGCGCCCATATCAGCGGGTCAAAAAATGCTTCAGCCAATAGGCATTTTTGTAACAGAATAACTGAAGCTCTGACTGTAAAACTCCTTTGTTGGACGCGTTCCATTACAAACAATAACTCTTTTGCAACCCTTTTGTGTTTTTGTTTCTCTTAACCGCGATCTTATAAGAGTTCCGACGGTTAAAAGGTGAACGCTAATTAAATTAACGGCGCTGGCTCGGCATTCATTTCTGCCCCGCCAAGATGGCGAACAATTAATCATGTTGCGAGGAAACAAAAGGCGAAAAACGGCCAAAATTGTTTTGATCAATCATTGTAAATTTGGTTTCTGTGTCAGAACCAAGTCATTACGTAAGTATTAAAGATAAACATAAAGCGTTTAGAATTTTTATCAACTAAACAAAATCAATAAGAACTGAAAAGTTGAAAAGTTTATGAACTTAGCTAAACTTCTTCAGTAGTAATTTTTCGTTTAGGCGAGATAAAAAATTTTCAGATCGAAAAGTTTTGGTTATTTTTTAATCCGTGATAATGAAAATTATTAGGCCTTGTCCTCACGAATCAGGACTTGAAACCCCATATTTTGTTACCCAGGGCCCGAAAGGTGGTGTTACACGGGACGACTTGCAACGACGATTTTTAGCGGAACACAGCGTTGCAATGTTAAGACAATGTTGTAGCTGTTCGAAACAATATTGCAACAACGTTGCAACGTTGCGTTGCGCTAAATTTTGTCGTTGCGAATCGTCCCGTGTAGCATCACCTTAAACCACTCTCTAGAGGAGTTTTAAAAAGATGTGATTTCTGTGAGCTGATTCATTGGTTTCAAAAAAACATACAGTTTCATGTGGCTGTGGCCTTAATGTCATTGTCTCGTGCGTAGATTCGTAGGCGGACGATTTTCACGTAGAGAGAAAAAAAAGGAATGACATTTAAGAAAAAAAAATAGAAAAGAAATCCGTGAACGGTGATGTCTTCATGGTCTTTACAAAATCTCTGGAGTCTATCAGGAGTCTGTTGTTTTGTAGGGGACGACAGTAGGGAAACATAACAAAGTGCACTGAAATTTAAGTTCAGGGGCCAAGGTTTGCTTGTGAATCCTACCGCTGCAATAACAAACTCTTCATTAGCCTGTTCCAGGTCCTCAGTTGAAGGACGATAAGCAAGCTAGCGCGTGAAAAACGGGCTAGGACTGGGGAAAGAGGCCCTAGAACACCTTTGTAGTTGCTACAGTGATCTCACAAAAGGACAAAGGCAATCACTGTAGAGGGGATACCAATAAAGAACCGCGGCGCTTAATATTAGATGCCCTGACTTAACTAAGCGGCGCGTATTTGGTGAAGCGCTGATTTAATTTGTAAGAAACATAGTGCTACTACTACATAAGCAGGTTCTTTGCTTTATCGTTGTTGCGTTTAGAAATAAGAGCAAAAGCATAACAACGACCTAACAAAGGTTTAGTTTTTAAGTTATGGGCCTTCTTCGAAATCCGAACCAGTAACGGTAACAAAATAGCAATAATCAAATCAACGCCCCATTTTTGTTGATTTTACGAACATGTTTGCTCATTTGGGCCACTAGCGGGCGGCGTTAGTTCAAGTGAAGGCGATAGACTGAGAAGAAAAGCACTGAAACAAGAATGCAAAATTATCTTTTAATAAAACTGAAAGGTTCCTACTCTTTAAAGATGAACGTTTCTTAAAGTATTTAACCGATCGGTGGGCGTAGCACTGACCGACAACTAAATGTATCGCGCACTACTCTAGACATTCAACCGTAACAAAGATCTAAAGAAATGAATTTTGAGACGGTGCTTTGGTTAAGATGTTAATTCCTATAGCAGCGAGTGCCTATTGTTTTGTTACTTTTCCCAGTTGCTTTCAAGACTTGTGGCCTTAGTGGCCACGAGAAGTAAACGATGACGGTCTGCAATGTGGAAATCCTAGCATTCTGGGCCTGACAGAAATTTACTCTGACGAAACTAATGCACCTAGGCTATTTGACTAACTGGCCCTTAATGATGCATCCTGTGCGAATAAGGCCCTTTTTATATGGAGAAAACAAAGTACGTTTCTGGGGAAACTGCCCACCTACCCCTCCCCTAAGCCAACATTTTGTCCTAAGTGAGAAGTGATTGTTAATGTTGGATTAGGGGAGGAGTAGGTGGGCAGTTTCCCGGAAAGGTATAATGATCCACAACTTCTACCGGGTAGAAGGGGTCATCCTCCCAGCCGAGTCAACTTTAGCGAGCGTTCATATCGGAAAAAAATTTGACCCCCTTGCCCAAGCCAACAGCACTCGCGCATGCTCCGATTACCTCGCCTCGACCGAGTTGACCTGGCTGGGCAAGCCGAGGTGTTAATATGGAGAAAAGTTGTCCCAACTAGGAGGGTGACCCTACCAAAAGGGGGTCACCCTTCTAGCCGAGCCAAGTTTTTGTTCCTCGTGTAAACTGTTCGCCACGTTTTGTAAGGAAATTTATCAAGAGTTGGTTTGCCCAGGGTAGATGACCCTTCTACTTAGGATAACTTTTCTCCATTTAAATGGGGCTTAACGGTGTTAGGTTTTCTTCCAGCCTCATTAGCTTTTAATAGCAAGCCATGAGTAGACACTTCATGAGGTTAGTTGGGAATCATGAAATAGAAGGCCAGCGTTGATCCTAGTATGGTAATAGCTGTCAACCAAAAGAAAGCAACGTCAAGGACGGCAGCTGCGTGATGCCAATCACTCACTTTTTCTTCCGTCTCTTGCGTTTCTTTCAAATGAGCAACGATGGATCGCATGCCATAGACGATCTCTTCCATCCGCTCATCCGAGGGTGTCAGCGAAACATTAGATCCCATGGAGGTGAGAAAGCATTTGCTGTCGCGCGGTGAATGCACTTCCGAATCGCCTTTCTTTGGGCCCGTGATCTTTGGCATGGACACAACCAAATGATTCTGGCTGCGGTGAATTTCGTAAGGAGCACCTTGCACTTTAGTCGCGTAGAACTTTCTTCCTTTATCCTCACGCTTCATCTTTATGCGCTCGTCGGACGGCATGGCAAGCAACATGGGACCAAGAATATCGAAAATAAGCCTGCGGAACCATTTGGGCATCTCTCTTTCAGGATCGCGGTGATACACTCTCAAAATGGAGCAAGTCACGACCAGGGCGACGGTCACCTGCACCAGAACAGTAACGGAATACTTGCCTATCAGTGGCGTCACCTCGGAAGTTCTCGGCACATTTTCTGTAAACACCATCATGAATACAGTCAGTCCCAGTAAAATAGTTATGACAAGTCCCATTCGCTCTCCAGATTCGGGTGGCAAGTAGAATGAGAAGACGGTCAAGACAGCCAGAACGATGCATGGCACGATCAGATTCATCATGTAGAAGAGAACCCTCCGCTTCACGTGAATCGTGTACGTGATATCAACGAAAGGGTGTGGACAGCAACTGTATGTGACCACATTCCGCTTTAGAGGGGCATCCAGTAATTCCCATTCGCCGCTTACGGTGTATTTGGTTAGGTCTGCAGCATCACGCTTGTTGGTGAGGTTGAGCTTGTTTCCTGTCAATGAAAAGAACACATTTTCCGACTGACTGACACTTTCGCTACTCTCATATTTGCCCGAGCGGTTTGAAGACTTACTTTTTGTTTTTGAAAATGGTTCAGGTGTTAAATATTTTGGCATAAATGAAGCAAACATCCGACATAAAGTTAAAGACACAAAAGTTAAAGTCGATCATCATCGACATCGTCATCGTCATTCGTCGACTTCCATTGAGATCAATGTCACTTTGTCTCGCCATGTCCCTCTTCCTTAGCTTGTAAATTCAGATTGCATCTTTTACACGCACTTGCAATTAACATATTTCCTGTTTTTGCTTCTAAAATATATGTTAACACTATTGGTGTGAAAAAGTCTTGAAAATTCTCACCCGTGTATGTCCAGGAACCAAAAACTAAAGGACATTTCTGCTCATCAAATGGGAAAAAGCCAATGTCGATTTTACAAATGCTGTGTATTTCTGTTGGAGCAAACCACTCTGTATAGCCAGTGTGGTTCATAACTGCCTTGGTATCGTAGTTATATATTGCGCCTGTTTGACCAAAGCCAATGCTAAAAAAGCAAAAGACAAAATAATTTCATTGTTGTTTAAGGAAGCCTGTGAGTTTGACCTTTTTAAAGGAGAATCTCTTTTGTTTCTTCTTCGACTTCTTTTTTGAGGTTTTTTTTCTGTGTCTTGTAATCACGTTGACCACATGCTGGAGTGGTTTCTTGGAAGTTCTGAGTGTAACTCTTCGGCGCGTCTAGCTTGTGAATACACTCTGTAGCCACTGGTTGTGCCTCCCACCAGCTGGGCTTCATATAGTGTTTTTTTAAATTAACTTTTTCACCCCCAAAAGTGGGGAAAATTCAACATCAGTTCCAAACTTCATTTTGTAAAAATTCGAAAACCAAGTAGTACCATGTGAGAGTACTACTGAAGATGTTTCATTTGAATCGTCTTGCCATAGGACTCCATCTGTCAGACTCATAAGTCATTAGCCATAACCACCTTACACGACTCCATCAGTAACTCCGGGAGTGAAGGGTGAAAGTGTTAGTTTGGTTAGATTATTTGTTTACCAGCGAAAGCAATACATGCGTTTTCTCGAAAACCAAAGCAATTGAGATTTTCGCACGTTTGGCAAATTCCCGCCCCATGCCCCAAAATCTACAGAAATACACTTACTTGTTGTAGAGGATGATGTCTGGCTTCCAAATTAGTTTAGGGTCAATATTAATGAATTGTATGCCGCCATACTTAGCTGGGTCCCATTGTAGGAATGGGTTGGTCCACATCTGCAGTAGGAAAGAAAAAGAAGGGAAAGTCTCATATGTAAGCAAACATTTTGAGGAACTCGTAAGTCTTAAACCCTTACAGACAGGATAGGTTTTTCTAAATGTCGAATTCATGAAAGTAAGCGTTGCCTCAACCTCAGTCTTTTGTCCAACTGTTAAAATCGTTGGGTCACTTGACTTAGAAAAGGGTCGAACACCTACTCCTCTTCACAATGTTGCACAAGACCACAACTTAAGTGCTGTAAAAACGACCTGATTTCAACTTTGTCCCAAAAAGTGTTGAGGTTGGTGCTAAGAAATATTGTTTTTGCTTGGAAACGATGACACTTTGAAATGTAGACACGACCAGTAAACCTTACGTTAAATGGCATAGGCTATTTGGCCTTACCATCACATTAGGGCCATTTATACGAGGAAAATAAGACGCGTCTTACATAGGACGCGTCTTAAATAAGACGCGAACTTTCCGTATAAACGGCATATTTCGTCTAAAATAAGACGCGGCTTAGCTAAGACGCGTCTTATTTTAGAACAGCCCTTAACACCTGTTCTTAGATAAGACGCGTCTTAGCTAAGACGAGAAAAACTTCGTATAAATGACCTTCGCGTCTTACATAAGACGCGAACGCATAGTACGCATGCGTTAATTTTTGGCGCGCCACCTTGGATTGCCGTTGCTACGGGCGACGTCCACATGAAAACGAGTCAAGAACAGAAATAAGACGCGAACCATTTATATGAGCTGTTCTCGTCTTAGATAAGACATGCTCGTATAAATGGTACAGTACGCGTCTTATGTAAGACGCGTCTTATTTTTCCTCGTATAAATGGCCCTATTGTGTCCTTGCACATTATTCTCGGTCACTTAAAGGTCTGGTAAGACACTGGATTTTACTTACCTGTCTGAACCACACCTTGCTGGACAATATCTGATTTTTGCTGTCCTATGAAAGAGAAAGATACTCAGAATACTCCAGAGTGATAATACTCAGAATACTCCAGAACAATGATACTCAGAATACTCCGGAAGAACGATACTCAGAATACTCAAGAGCGATTAAACTCCGAATACTCTAGAACGATGATTCACGGGTTTTTCTTGGAACTCGAGATAGGCAAAATTTTTGTGCACACCTAGGATTTTTGTGGTAATTTTGTTTTACTGGATGGAAAAAGGGAGCGTTTTATCGAATACAATTTCTTAAACAAATAGCTGATTTCTTGTTTTTTAAGCCTCTTTTTTAAAGTCAAGGTAGGGTAAAACGGACCACAAAAACTTGCAACTTAGGTTGCTGTTGGGAAAGTTTTGCAGAAAGTAAAATGGTAGACTTTTTACTTTTTGCAACAAAATTTGTTCATGTTGCACGTTTTACCGGTCCAAGGCCACCTTGTTTTGCAGAAAGTAATGAAACTCCCGGGCATGGCGTGACTCCTGCGTACAATTTTATCCAATCAGAAGTCAAAATTCACACAACATCCAAAAACTTCATTGTTACAAGACAGGTTTGACACGTGGTTAGTAAAAGTAACGTTATGCGTTAACTCGTTTTGCTGCGATGTTGAAAAACAAGTTGAACGTACTAGTTGGCCGTTTTACCCAGCTTAAACACAACGTACTTCGGCGAAGTCTCTCACTTGCGAAGTATCTATTTATTCTCATGCAAATTAAACTCATTTTTAGCTGGACAATTATGCGAGGCATTTTGAGGCATTTTGCTACTTGAAAATTGTCTATTCAAACTACTGATACGCAATCTGCCAATCTACAAAACCACAAGCCTGTATAACCTAAATAAGTACCAATTTCTTTAAGAATAAAATCTTGCTCTCTCTCTCTCTCAATCGGGTAAAACAAGAGAGAATAATGGGACGGACAGGGAAACGCTCAGTCTAGCGCTTGGGATACGTGAATTTCACCAAAGTTATTTTTAGACCAATTAAACGCTTGAAATTAATTGCAAGCTGGTTTCCGAAGAGGTCCGCAAACGTTTATTCAGTGTCGTCAAGAAAGAATTCAACAGCCGCCATTACAATAGTTTGCATTGTTAGCTTTGACGCGTTCAACAATCGCTTCCAACAATAGTTGAAAATGTGAGGACGTCTCCGGAGTGAGAGTTCAGTTTAATTACAATCTCTAAAAATAACTTTAGTGAAATTCACATATCATTGCCAACGCCCTAAGATTCCCTCCGCTCTGTTCGATTATTCTCTCTTGGGTAAAAATAATAGACTTAGGTGTCATTTCGTTACCAGGCTAATTAGTTGGGCGTATGCGAGATCGAAGTGGACGTCGATTGCAATTGACTTGTTCATAACAGGCAGAGCGTCTTTTCTGTATCCATCGTAGAACAAATCGTTGATTAGCTTGTGCTCGTAATCTTTCTTGTGGGCTGCTGGTGAAAATAGAGTAAAGTAAAACACAGATTACATTGTTTAATTTATAAACCTGGCACTGAGAGGCCATTTTCACGATGAGCTAAGGGGCCGACCATTTGACTTTTGAGGTGGAAGAAGACTGATTTCAAGGGAAAAAAAATTTTGCAAGGAAATACCTGACATACAATGGAGTTGTATGGCGGGGAAAAAAAATTCCATCAACAGAGGTTTAAGGAAAAAATTCTTACCCAGATCAAGTCATCCATAACCACCGCCCCCGCCTTAAAAGTCAAATGGTTGAAAGACAACCACCAGAATAGAGCGTTTTCACTTGACGTCACAGCGGCCATTTTGGTGTTCCAAACCAATCCCGTGAGAGTTGAACTCTCTTTTTATGTTAACGCTCTTTTGTTCCAAATTTGTCAATCCTACTAAGATTTATAAAACAATAGCCCTAATTTTAAGATAAACAGCAAGCTGAAGGATTCTGGTAGTTGTAGTCATATAATGTCATCGTACAAATGAACCATTAACTCTTTAAGTATAAAGCGGGCGCTGAAAGAAACTTTGAACATGGACAAAAAAAACCAGAAGATAATAGTCAGAGGGAGCTTCTTCTCAGTCCTCCCGCGTTTAGTATGTCCAATACACTCCACTGCCGGAAGTGTAGTCCTGAAATACCCGGTTCTTTACGAGACAAGCAAGCTACACAACATCCAACGAATAGAAATGGGTGAGTCCAGTAGAATCCAATTGGACCAAAAGAAACAGGTATTTACCAACACAAAAGCCCTAAAGTAGTTCATATATTGCCTAGCAACATTAAAAAGGCAGCAAATGACCCAAACAAATTTTGTCTATTGGTTAAGAAATACCAAAAGAATAATCAGAATGCCTAGATGACAACTTTTACATTTTTATTTCATACTTTCATTGCTGATTATGTATACCTTCACTTTTTTCATAACTGTATATATTGTTCTTTTTTTAATATCGATTTTCTCTGATTTTCTTATTCGTGTTGTAAATTTGTTTTCAAGTGTTATCAGTAGGAGAAGAGTCACTTGTGTTGATTAAATTTCTATGAATGATTTATTTATTTGATTTATTTTTCCTGAATATCGCGCGTGTACCAGGTAGACGCACATATGTCGTAGCGCAACTACTCTTGAACAGTCGATTTTCTGGTTAATTCCTTTAATTCTCTAACTCTACACCAAAGCCAGTTGAACGCGTATTAGGTTGTATGATTTAGACCTTCAGGCATAAAAAAATGCCTTGTCTTTTCTATGTAGCAACGGCCGATTAGCTGACAATTGATCTGAAATTTAATTAACAGGTAGATGGCAAATTGCCCATGTAAACGAAGATTTTATCACGCCCGATTCGATTCCGTAACCAAACCTGGATGCATGCTACAGATAACGTTTTTTCATAATGGTTAATGTTGGCAATGATAGAATGCTATGGTCAAAGTCCGTCAATAGAGAATGAGAGCGATAACTATTCATAAAAGATGCACAGAACATTGCTGTGGTGCCGTTCTTATGGTGTTGGAGTTCATTCTAACTTGATGATTCTCTTGATGAACTCCTAAATTCAGTGTTACAATTTAAATGAAATTTCATGCAAGATGGTGATTTAAAGTACATTTTTTATGGGCACCCAACGGCAATTTTTTCGGAAGACGATTTGATTAGAACGCATTTGTTGCAAAAGATGGTGATTTTTTACAAAATGGTATAATTACCCATTTTTAACGGATTGTGACCCTAAAAAGGCCACCTAGAATTTTCGGGAGCCTTTTCCTGGCTGAAATTTTCGAGAAGGCAAGAGACTTGCAGCTAGGAAATCCGAACAGATGAAAAGTTTTTAGGGGATAAAAATATGCCTATATCTACCGTTTGAATACTAAAATACGTTCAACAATGCTATGTTAAGTGGTTTTGAACTACATCCTCGTTGGGTGCCCCTGAACTGTAAAACTGTCACCAGTTTCAGTGTAATGTTAGGCAGTATAAATCTCTCGTTGGCGATTATGCATTGTCATTGATAACCTAAAGGTCTCTTGGACCTTCTTGCATTATAGCCGAACGCTGGTGCTAGCGAGAATAAATCTCTCTTCGCATAATCACGTCTCAGGTTAAAGAAAGAACGATGTTTAGAGGTTAAGGTCTTCTTGAGTGTTTAACCGGTTTTCAAAGGGCTGTCGCTAACTTGGTCATGAAACATAAATGGTAATTCTACGGGTTTTGAAAACTAACGCAGTTAATGAATTGAATTATACCATTGATCTCAGTACAATCAAGGACCATTAAGACTGTCGGACGGGTATATTTTTACTGAATTTGCGTTGTGAGTGTGAAGTCTGCGCGCGAAACCACCTTTCGGAAACGCATGCCGTTATAAGAAAGTGTCAAAAAGTGGTCTGTGTTGTGTGCTGTCATGTCAAAAGCACTGGTCTCAAAATGTATGACTGTTTTTATGGGGCAAATTGTATATCACAATGGTGAACAGTGCATTAAAATAACAGTCATTAGCGGCTGAGCTGTGCATTTTTAGTAATTAAAAACAGCTTTAAGTGCCCTCAAATTAGAAGATGTCTGTAATATGTTAAAAACACTTTTGTTTTCGATAATAGGAAACTTGTTTGGCAATTTTCATTACTTTCCCGAAAAGAACAAAGTTAAGGCAAAATGTTGGTGTGTTACATTTATATTTGCTTTAGCAAATATAATTGTAATTACACCAACAAGCTCTGACCCCGTAACGAAAAACTACAGATAGCTTGTGCGTGTGAAAACAATTCATGTCTTCGAACTTCCCTCTAAAGTAGTCCTTGCGTAACTTCGCGTTGCAGAGGAAAAGAAGTCGAATTTAGCGAGTCACGTTGGTGCGTCTATTAGCAGCCCTCAGTTTTTAAGGTCGATGAGCTTTCTAGTCGCTGATTTCAATATCAATTAGTATATTTTACATTTCAGATGAACGATAGCAATGTTTATTGAACAAAACAAAACACTGGCAAATCAGTTGCGAGTGGCACTGTAATATTGCGGTGATAAACAATATACAAGGCGTTAGGAAAAATAATAAAAAAACAGCTCAGAGTTGTGAGAGGTGACCCAATCAACACCAGAACTATTGACGAAGTACAAATTACAAAGCTGACAAAGCACCGAACAATCTGAAGTTGATTTGAGCAGTTTAGCTCTAACTAACTAGATTTACCTTGTGATGTTGCAAGTCCAAGCAGTGCAAAAAGTGTACCAAGGACGAAAAAATATTGTTTGATAGAGTTGGTCTTCATGACGAACGAACAGCTCATCGCATCATCGCCAGTTGCTTGCTCTTCCACGTTGGTTCTAAATTTAAGAGCAAAGGTTCACATTCTTTTGTATGTTAATCCATTATTTGACGGCAGGGGATACATTACAGAATTTTTTGGCCAGCAGGGTTTTGTTATTGCACTGTTGTTTTTTTCATATCAAAAATGTCGACTTTTTAGCCAACCGAGTGACATGTAAATTAAATTACGTTGCCTCTATAAGTATTGTTTTGTAACTCTCATGTTGACTGTTTATTCAAACCTATTGGATTTTTGTCATTGTCTTTGGATTTGCTTACTTACGGTGATCATTTTAGCCGTTTTTCTGCTCCTGACAAAAGTTTTTCATTAGCCCTGTTAGAAGGCATGGTATAGATTTGACACGAACGTTTTCATGTTCTTCATACTCCCTTTCATTTTCATGTCAGTTTTTAACAGCCTTGATCATTTTACTTTTGATGAGCCAATCCTGTAGAATAGATTATTCAAAACTCCCCCCAGGGACTTTGAACACACAAACACTAATTTCACTGTGTGTGTTATCTATGCACTATGACTTCCTTATCAATGTACCATAATTGAACAGATTTTTCATTACGGAGAAAATTGTTGAAACGGAATGTTTCTGTCGTAGAGGGTTGACCTTCGTTTAAAAGGGTAATCGTGCATGCAGTAATAAACAGCTACAAACCGTTGAATTCTGGTTATGAAGGAGTGCTTGTGGTCATAATTGCCGGCCCTTTATGTCTTTTTCCGTCAGGTCTTGTTATTTTTAAGTCACATTAATGACTATGGTACCATTTTGAAGAGGCTTGCAGCGACCATCATTTCTACGGAACTGATGTCTTTGTCAGCTTAATTAATGTAATACCCATACTTAAAACAAAAATGTAGTGAGATGTGGTAATGAATCAACCTACACCTACCAGTGTAGAACCGTTTAGGAAATAAAAGACCTTGTGGGTTAGGAAAGTTTCGGACGCAGCGTTGATGGTAAAGACGAACTATTTCAACTGATTTTCAGTTATCTAAAAGCTGCAGCTTCTCGAGCATTGCTTCCTTTTACAGTAAACAATTTCAGGTGGGGATTGTTATTACTATGGTACTGAAGCTCTGTACAAAAGCTTACCTTAAGCTGATTTTCTATCTGCGAGACTTCTTCGCTTTTCTTCTCAGTACGTGACGTGCTTTAGATCAACAACCAGCACATGCACATCAGCTTCTTGATCTACAGTTGCATTATCTGAGGCTAAGATCTTTGTTATCCGCACGGTTGACATCAGTAATAAACTGTATGCGCAGATCTCCTGGCTATGATTTGTGGCAAATGAAGTGCTAAAAACACTTCAGTTGCCGAATGTTCTTCAGATTGTCTTACTGAGTATGGAAACCTCCACGAAGACCGTCTTTGTCTCTGTACAGAACTAACGTGGCCACAAGGAGCTCTTAAACTCAGCAAAAATGCCAAAAGTAATAAAAGCAATGGAATGTCAATTTGACTGACATATGTATAGTTAATAGGTTCATCGAAATTAAGGCGAGTTGAAGTTGAAGTTGAAGTGGAGTTGTGTTCATGTTTGTTTCAGTCTTGTGATCATTTCTTTAAAATTGTTTTTCTGTCACGTTTTATAATACATTTCAGGAACTTGTCAAATTTTAACCCTTTAAACCCTAAGATTAAAATTTGAATTCTCATTTGTTGCCCCTAGTCATTCCTTCAGAAGTAGTGGGGAGAAGTTGATAAAATATCAAGCAAATTCATCTTGTGTGATCATGTCCTTAATTCCCATGACCACTCTGTTTTACAAAGCATTGATATTACAAGGAGAAATTTGATGTTGAAGGTTTAAATGCCTTTGATTTAGTTGCTTACTAACTAAAAAGACAATCTGTTCTGCCTTAGGGTGTGCCACACCCGGGATACTTTCGCAACGTCATCGAAAAAATTAGGAACTATATTACAATGTGAGTTTCTTAAGATAAAGTTTTGTTTGGGATGATAGTTATCAGAGTCAATAGGGTAATGCGCCATACTGTAGTCTCTATCTCCTGGTAAACAGCAAAGGAGGGGCATGCATGTTGGGTTGTACTTTCTTTAAGGGACTTTCGTACAGGAACGTTTCAGGGAATTGCTTGAGTGTCATACAAATCGTGAAAGCCTGAAGGAAAGGTCTTGCCTGAAGGGAGGAGAGAACAAGCAGACGCCGGAGAAACCGGCCACAAGAAGTACGAGGACCAACAACGGGACAAACTTAGGGGACCAAGGGCTTGCAATACCCGAGGAACTTCACGTGAACCATGGGAACGAGTAGCGCTCTAATCATCCAGGGAAACTGCGGAAACAAGGTAGCCTAGGAAAACAGGAAGCTATGATAATCTACCTCCTGTACAAGCGTTGGGGGGGGAGGCAGGGGAAGGTTTATTGGTTCATTCATGGAAGAGCTTGGGGCGAACATTTACCCGGAACATGTGATCTTTATCGGATTTAATTGATGAAAAAAAATACCCTAGTCAAGCGCGGTGTATTACTTCCTTTTATTGAAAACACGAAGAAAGAGGGAATTCCTCTAAGGTCCATGTTCTGGCGGAGTATAAAGCGATGACCACCTATGGGTGACAATTCTGTCGATCTAAGATTTTGTTCACAAGGCGTAAATGATACTAGTTAGATAAAAAAAATTCTCTCTCTCTCTATATATATTTTAAAATCTACCATTTAAGGCTGGTCGTATGATGAAATCCTCAAGTACTGGAAATGGGTCGTAAAATGTTATTTACAGATAACATAATGGCTAAACCCACAGCATATTAATGCAAGTAATGGTGCATTCAAATTCAAGATTCTAAGCTTCCAATCTTGTCTACCCTTAAATTTATACAGTCCAGCTGTCCTCCTATTAAGCGGTATCAGGACAAAAATGTCTCTAAATAACTGAAAATAGGACCTCCATTAAACAGCAACTTGTTCCTTCCCCGTTGTTGGTCCGCTTAGTAGAGATCTGACTGTAATATTGGCGTGTGCATGATCGTCTCGCACTAAAGCCTCAAGACTGATGCGTTTGGACATCACAAGGCCCTTTTAAAGAAGTTTAAACACCTTTCACTCGACATACGTTTTGGAGGTTGCTACTTAACCCTTTAAACCCTAAGATGAAAATTTGAATTCTCATTTGTTGCTCCTATTCTTTTCCTTCAGAAGTAGTGGGGAGAACTTGATAAAATATCAAGCAAATTCATCTTGTGTGATCATGTCCTTAATTCTCATGACCAGTCTGTTTTACAAAGCATTGCTATTACAAGGAGAAATATGATGTTGATCACTCTTAGGTCTTAAAGGGTTAACAGACTTTCCACAAGAGAGAATAATGGGAAAGCGAGGGAATCGTAGGGCGTTGGCCGGATATGTGAATTTCGTTGAACGTTATTTTTAGATTTTTTTTAAAATTAATTTTGATCGATTGTTTAAGACGTCATCGAGTTCACGCGCGACTGCGTCAAAGCAAAAAATTCAAATATTTATGCACTGTTTGTGGAGTCCTTAATAAAGTTATAAATCGGTTGAAAAAAACAATTCAGAATATTGTAATAGCGACTGTTGAATTCTCTGTCGATAACACCGAAGAAACGTTTGCGGACCTCTCCGGAAACAAACTCCCCATTAATGTCAAGTATTTAATTGGTCTATAAATAACTCCCATATCCCAAAGGCCAGCTGTTGGTTTTCCTCTCATTCCCATAATTCTATCTTGCTTTCCACTATCATTGTGTGTGCGCATTACCCAAAATTAATCATGCAACAACTATAAAATAGCCCTTCTCAATCACGGGTAACATCGCGTCATGTGAAAGGCCAGCTCACGAGGCTTCAGCTTCTTGAATCTTTTTAGACTGGTAAATTAACTTTATCTACCAAGCCGACGAAACTAAATTGATGCAAATTATAAAGAACACGACTGTCTTTTGTTGCTTATTGATTTTTGTGATTTCCCTGCCACATTTCTTACCCGTACTCTCCAAATAACTTATAGGTATTATACCAGTTTCTATTCGGCTTAAACCCTCAGTTTAATGACTTGTGTAATCCGTGAAACGCTACACAAATGACACTACAACTACATGTACGGTTGTTGAGACACCCGGTACTTAAGCCTACAAATGTTTTTGCTAAAATGCGCCTTAAACTAGGGCAAAAGGAGTTGTGAACGGTAAGACTTGATAATCTCCTCTGAGGGGCTGTGGGGACGGGGAAGAAAAATCGTTGTCTCACGTTCCCCATCTCCGGAGCGCCCCGGAGAGCTTGCACGTTTGTTAAAACGCCTGGGCCTTATTCGACCGGTCCTTTTGCAACTAGTTGTAGCATTAATTATACGTCGATCTTTATCTTTGATAGATCGTGTAGATAACTAAAGAAAAGCCCTTATTTACCAGTACATATTTATAAGACCACTGAGCCGAACTACACCAGCTCCAGCTCTTTGTTTGCTGGAACGAAGCCGCGTTAATTCATTTACTGGCCGTCACCAGTTATGTATGCATCATGGAATGGATAGGTAAAAAAGGGACGTCGACACGGCAAACGCCACTAACAAGATCCAGAAAAAGAAGCAGTCAAGCACTTGTGCGGCAAAGTGCCATTCATTTTTGTTACTCTCGGTCGTTTTGACGTCTTTTATGTGATCAATAACGACTCGCATACCGCGTGATATCTCATCCAGTTTGTCTAATGAGGGGCACTTGAGAGACTCAGAATGCCTCGAGTTCTCTGAAACGACTTCCACGAGGTCGTCCCCTTCTTTGCTCTCCAGTTCTACTTTACAGCAATTGGAGCCTCTCTCGTAACTACCAAACAACTTACTTACGTATATGTTACTTCCGCGTCGATGATTGCTCTTTGCTCGTTCAAGTTGATGTTTCTCACAGGTTTGCTTATCCTGTTTGGCCCCGCTGGGCTTTTTCATCCTGAGCACAGGCGCGAGGATCCTGTAAGTTAGGTAGCGATACCACGCTGGCACAGATTTAGAAGGGTTTCTGTGGTAAACCCGCACCACAAAGCACGTGATTAAGAGCGAGAACGACACCTCGCACATGACAGTGAAGGCGTACTTAACGATTAAGGGGATGACTTCTGATGTTCGCGGCACGTTTTCGGTGAAAACCAGCATGAAAACCGTCAATCCAAGAAGAATTGTTATGACGAGAGAAATTCTTTCCCCCGACTCCGGAGGTAGTTTGAACGAGAAAACTGTGAGTGCGCCTAGGACAATGCATGGCAGTATCAAGTTTGTCATGTAAAACAGCACTCTACGACGAACAATGACCGTGTAGGTGATGTCGATGAAGGGGTCTGGGCAACAGTTGTACTTGACCACGTTGCGCACAGTCGGTACCGCAAGTAATTTCCACTCACCGCTGACCGTGTACTTTCCTAGATCCGCCGTCTCTGATTTGTTTGTGAGATTTAAAAAAGTTCCACTGTAGGTCCAAGAACCGAATGTCAGAGGACATTTTTGTTCATCGAATGGAAAGAAGGTGATATCGATTTTACAGATGCTTTTGATTTCAGTCGGTGCATACCAGGAGTTGTTACCGTCGTATTCCATGACAACCTTTGTGTCGTAGTTATAAAGCGCACCTGTCTGACCTATTCCAATACTGAGGAAAAATACGGGGAATAAAACAATTAGTAATTACCTTAATTGAAAGGAGAAGAAGATCATAAATATTTTTTTAAAAGCTGTGTTTTGTTAATTTGTTACTTCTCAAATATAAATAATTTACAACCACATATATTTCACTATAACACTGGTTGAAATCTGGGCTAAAACATCTCTACTAGTTATATCAGCCTAGAAGCTTCGTTTAATTTATTTTGTTGTTCACCCTTGGTAAGAGATATAATTATCGTCATTAGTTTTATCAAGAAAATGAATTCCGGAAAAACAGTAAGCAACGAATGGAAGGGACGTGAACAAAAAGAAAAAAAAAACATAAAAGGAAAAAAAACTATTTGTTTCGAAAGAAACCTACTCTCTTAGTTGTCGTTATGGCTCTTGGATAAACGTAATAATAATGTTTAGATGGCCTGGTATTTTTTTTTATTGAGGTACGTTGTTAAGAAACAGACAACACCCCCTAAATACTCTTTAAGCGTTTGTGATGCCACTAATTTTGAGATTTAACTATATGAATCACGTTCGTCGCTGCAATTTCTAGGAATGTTGTCCAACATCGTTCCCTGGTAGTTAGGACAACCCTGAAAGTTACCAATTCACTTTTTATCCTATCCGTTCCCATAAAACACAAATCTCTCAATTTAACTTAAGACTCGACCTCCCTATCCTATGTTTGTGCTTATTGGCTTATAGTTAGTAACGCGCTATGTCATGGGACGTGTAAGTCCGTGAGATGTTAGTAATTAGGGAGCTCATTTTCCAACTCGTTCAATTCGTCAAATGCTGGCAAATTTTTCTAGAGTTGAATTCTAAAAGACTATATCAAAGTTCAGGAAAAGAAAAAGAAAGTCGTTGTCTTGTGTTCACGTCCTCCACAAAACGTGAAATTAGGCACCATTACGTTGCAGTCGTGCTGCGACGGCAATAGGACCAATAGGCTGATTTAGCAACAGAACGGGAACGTCATTTGACGACGGGAAAGCGCGCGGAAAGGACTAAACTCGACTTCCGGTGCCCAATTTGCCGCTCATCGATTGTTCAAGCTTGGTCAAGCCAGTTGTTTGATTTGCGCGCGCCGTCGTCAACTGACGTTCCCGTTCTGTTGCTAAATCAGCCTAATGAAATGTCCAAAAAAGCGTGATGCACTTGCAAAGTTGTTGTTTTGCCAATCTAAACCTATTCCTTTTTTGCCGTTCTCGTTCTCGTTGCCGTCGCCGTCTTTGTTGCTTAAGCTCCCTAATAAGACCACCTCACGTACCACCTCACAAACCGCCCTAAGCCCTTGTTCTGATAGGTTCGAAGAGCATTGACACAGCATCCATTTTCATATTCGTTGACAATATTACAAACAACATTTCATCAATCACACGGACAATTTTACTCGGTGTACGATTTATTACCAGTTAGCACTTGTCCTCTCAGGGAGTATTTTTTAATCATTTTTCTAGCTGGTGTCTTTAACAACTTACTTGTTGTATAATACCAGATCTGGTTTCCAAACTAACTTGGGGTCCACGTTTATGTTCTTTATACCGTTGTAGTCTTCGGGTTTCCAGGCTAAGAAAGGATTCTTCCATTTCTGAAATGGCAGTAAGAGATGCCGGTGTCATGAAGAATAAACTTTACGGGTGTGCTAAATTCTACGCGCATCTGGTTGATCGTTGCTTTCGACCAGTAGAGACGCAGAACTGAGGGACACAGCAAACGTCAGATCCATGCAATTTGACAATTTAATTTCTTAATTTAAGAATTCAGCAGATAAGAGTTAACCTGTGCAAACTAATTCTTATGGAGTAACCCAGTATTGCACTAGATATTTTTGCGTAGACTCGGATGTAATGCACTATAAATGACAAGTTGAGGGAATACTTGGTCACGTGGTACAACTTGACGTCTTCCGTAAACATGATTCTAAATAAGATTTATAATTGCTTCGAAGATTGATTTGATAAGTAAAATTTGTTTTCTAAGGGGTAAAGAGTGGATTAATGCTGGCCAATTCGGTAATACAATAAAATTAATGCTAACTTCAGACAAAACGAAAGTGTAAATGACTGTAACATTATTATTTATTCAGTTTGCTAGATGGTGAATAAGTGCTGATACCTAAACGAGTACTAGTCTTACCTGCCGAATCCAAATCTTGCTTGACAGAATTTGATTTTTACCATCCTTAATTTAATGAAAAAATAAAATCAATCAAACAAAAAACAAAACACTTATAGTACTGTAAAAAAAAACTTTAATTACATGCATACTGAGATATACTCTCTGAAAGGCTATGTCGTTTTTCATACGCAAATAACTTCTAGCCAATCAGAGGAGCGAATGATGTTTTTCACACGTAAAAACAATGATACGTCCAATCAGAAGGCACAGAGGTGTGTGGGTTTCGCTCCAAAATTCCCCCCTTTTGTCCTTTTGTAGGCGCTTGCAGCTTGCAGCGCCCTCTCAATTTGCGGGTTGCTTCGCAAACATTCCGCGAGAAAAGACCGCAAAGAAGAGTTACTCTTTTAGTTTTTCTCGTGAAAAAGTGAAACTCGGAAATTTGAGCAAAATAGTTTCGCATATTTCACTGTCGATGAAGAAAACTGTGGAATGACGGCAAAACAACAGCCGCAGTAAGAAAAAAGGAGCGAGAAGTAAGCTAACTTTAATTTGTACTTTTAGTGGAGCTATTTTGTCTTCTCAGTGGCCCTTTTACTCAAATTCAGTCATTTCTAATTGTTTACAAAAATTAACATGATTTTTAATTCCTGGATTACCTTATATCCTTAGCCTCAGTCATTATATAAAGTTTTACAAGCGTTTTTATTGATTCGTTTTCTTTGTCATTTCGCGGTGTCTAGGGGCAGGTTTCAGCATTTTTATAGCATTTTGAAAAGAATTGGAATAAAAGACTAATAAAATGATGAATTGTCTTAATATGTATATAATTAACACAATACCACATGAAAAGTGCTTTGAACGGTGTTTGCGCACTCGTTTTTGCATCAGAAATCTCACTCGTTCGGTTTCTGATACGTCAACAACTCGTGGGTAAGTACCATACGCGCGCACTTTGGAGTTATAAGAATACCATTCGTCGTCCCGGTTTACATGTTTTGGATTCGTCCGAGCCTGATATGGAAAGATATTTTATGATGGGCGAGGATATGGATCCTGTAAGTTTCTCATATTAAACCGAAGAAATAATCCAACAATCAACAGTTATCAGTTTAGTAGTGTGTATAAGAGCGTGATAATCCAGATCAGTGAACCTGTACAGCTCAGTAAAGCAGAACGTAATCCCTGAAAAAGTTTTAATTTTCTTTACGCCACCCAGATCAGCTCAGATCCTATTTTAACTTGAATAAATGGCGTGTCTTGAAAATACTTTACTCCTCATGGCAAGAAGAGGGATGCAAAAAGTCCAATATTTTCCTGTCCAACAAGGTAACAATAATGGATCGGCACGTGACCTCAATACAGACATACAATTGATGGATTATAACTGAGGTATAAAAAAGTAAAATGGAAAACGGAACGAGATGCGATGTAACGTCCCCATAGTTAAAGCGGAGTTCACAGAATCATTTCACTGACTTCTTCTCAAGTTTTTAAGTAAGTATTTTCTAACAGACGTTTTTCTTTACCGCAGCAAACAAATGGTAGAAAGTTTCCTGCCAAAATGGTACGAATATCAGGCACAATGATTCACCACTGTATCTGGGATAACACTGAGCGGGGACCAGCTAAGCAGGTATGTAGTATTTATCTCACTAGCAACGGGCGTTAACTCATTTTTGTTTAATCTGCTGTGGCAGACTGAGTTTCTGTCTATTCATGATTAAGCTCTATTTTACCATAACGACCTTTTTTCTGTGATACACCTCGATTAGTAGTCATTAACCATTTGTAAAATCGAGTTAGTAATATGCCTATAACTCGCTTTGCTTGAGATTGCAGCCTTAAGTTATTCCCAGTGAGTCGCCAATGCCGACCTGCTTTAATTTTGGCAAGAGAAAATAGAAAAGAGAACATAGAAAAGAGAAATAGTTCAGTTAGTGCTGCGTCTAAACTAGTAGTTTTAAAGAGACGTAATGAAGTTTTGCAAATAGGTGCGAGTTAAGCGTTATTCTCGTAAAGAAATCTTTGTTTCCATATTGGACATTTAACAAATTGATTCATATGCTGGATTTTTTTTGCGGTTATTTCTTGAAAACCACAATGCATGAATTTCTGATAATGGGAACAAAAAGATTTTGAGATAACAGTTAATTCTTATTCCAGATGACTTTTAATGGACCTTAGCCTGCAGCATTCCTTGGTAATAAGAATAAAAATAATAATAAAAAAAATAACTGATCACGACGAAAGTTTGAATGTTGCAAAACGATTAGGAGCAGCTGAAATAAATTCAGACTTAAAACATGCAGTATAGCTAGCTCTTCGCATCTCTTTTGCTGTGAATAAAACTATGTGTCCATTCAGGTGAAAAGTCCTTTTGTGGTGCTATTTGTTTAATGTGAATGTTTTGCTATCGAACAGAAAGCGCTCTGAAGTCTAACAAACACTATCATAAGTACCATACTTTTTACCATAATTGTTTGAAACCACATGCTTGTTTTTTAAGTTATATCTTCGTGTATAACTCGTTAGCTCTTTTTACGTGCCTCTTTTGAGCGTGCCAAAAGTGCAAAAAAGGTCGTCTCACCAGATCCACAAGTTGGCTATAGGCCACATCAAGCTCCACTTTTACCGCCTCGCTCTTGTTGAACACGGGACGAGAATCCTTTTTGTAGTCTTTCAAGAGATCTTCTATCAAGCGATGCTCAGAATCGTTAACATGACTTCCTATATTTAACACAAGAAACAAAGAAAATATCAAAATATCAAGAGGGGATAAGTACATGAGAGATAGACCTGGCGTCCATGTGAACACTACTATTCAGCTACGATGATCGCTGAACAAAGGCAGTAGAAGTTTATTTCAGCGATTGCTGTCGCGAAATCGATTGCTGTGATGACTACGATTGTCTTATGTTTCCTTTTAATCGTTGGATAGCTGAAGGCCTTTTAAAACTAGGTTTTATTTATTACGTAATATTTCAAACACGACTAGGGGCCTATTTTACGTTTTTTGTAAGACTGTCCAGATATCAGATTCAATGCTTTTTCGAGTATTTGATGTAGATTTTGAAATAACAATTTGTCAGACGAAACATAACAATGCTGAACAATTCTCTCCCCTTCTACTTCTTAGCCGTGTACCTCGCCCTCGTACCCCAAGTTTATTTTGCCATCAACAAAATGTCTGAGGGGCTTTAACTTCCCCTTAATACCAGGCGCTTATTCGGGGCCTGAGAAAGAACGGAATTCTAGTAAAAAAGTATTTCTGGACGATGTATCATTTTCTCGTCGTGAATACTCTGGCTAACATGAACATATTAAGCGGACAGATAATTTCCATAATGTTCAAAAAATGCATTGATTTTTCATGAAATGTCCCTAATTGATACCACAAAAATGTCTGATTATGCTCTCGAATACATTTACACCGTCCCTTACACCGTCATAGAATCAAAATCGTGAAAAGTTTGGAGTACATCTAGTGAAATTGAATTTCATCTTGGAAAATATGACGTTTGCCGGCAAAGCAGGAAACTCAGTTCGCTGTCTAAATTAATTCTCGAGTTTTTAACAATGTTGTTGTTTATTCATCATTGTACACTGTAAACTGAGGTGAAAGAGAAAGCAGCAGTTGAGTTTCGAGTTCTACATTATCAAACTGCGTTTCTCTGATTAGAGAAAACCCTTCGTTTTAAGGGCTTAACGTTCACGACAAATTTAAAGAGAAATAAACGCAAACAAGTGAAAAGCATAAACAGAGACACAATGCATTTTCAGTCTCCTATTCTATTTCGACGGCACAAAGACTCAAAAGAGAGAAAGGCACAACCAAAACCGCATTGTTACCTTGAGCAACACACCCTGTGACGTGCAAGATGAGTAACAGTGCTGAATATTGCCTTCGTAAGTGGAATTCCATCTTGCAACCAAGCTTGAAGTCAGTCTTTTAAACTAGTCTGCAAAAGAAACGGTCTTAGATTAAGGTTTGCCGGTTGCCAGTGTAAACGTCATGCGTGGTTAAGCGCGTGCACTTCAGGCGTATCCGGCTAATTGGCTGAATATTTCCGACGAATATTTCACGATTGAATTGATTTCCATGGCCAGTACGAGTTTTTTCTTACCTCTTAGAAACGTGTGAAACCTGCAGAAGTTTTGATTGAGAAGGCCTATGTACCATATTTTGAAACGACTAATCCGAACTTTTGACTGCGAGCTTAACTCAATTAATCGATGACATAAAAGAAGGCGTGTAAATGAGTTAAAAGTACCGTTATTAGCACCGCTGGATGATGGACCAATTTTCTCAAAAGGTGTAAATTTGGACTTGAAACGTGTGAGCATCAAATATATGTTGCTGATGTATTAAATAAATGTTCCTAATTACTTGCACATGCCGAATGCTGTACGGTATTCAGTAATCTTCTCGCCAACGCTTTTTGAAAAGTTTTGTTTGTCTACGAATGCCAAATGAAATTGTTTTTTATAGGAGTTAATCTTTCGCACATATAAGATAATTCCGTCGACTCAAACATGAAGGGGCATGAATGCACTATACCCCATTCTGCATCCCAATTCGCGGCGCTAATTGTAAGTAAACGGAGATCAATTGAGCTTGGCTTATATTAGCTATATCGTCTTGTGTATGATATGGATCGAGAAGTTGAGTTTTATCATAATTTGATCTATTGTTAATGGTCAATAATGCTGCTAAGTCAATGTCTTTGTTCTAGAGAACTGTTTTCAGTGGCATCCGCGGAATGAGCTAGCACAATAATTAACCGGTCTGAAATCTAGTGTTAGCCATTGTACGAGCACTTGATTTGAGGTTCTTTTTCTGCTAAATAAAGTCGACTTTATGGTCACGATAAGGTTTTAGATAGTCCATCTGAATAGTTTATGTTTAAAGCTGTTGCATAACTTCTACGTTGAGCGTAGGAGGGAGGAGGGGTCAGTGGCGTGGATCGACGCAGCTGCAAAGAACAAAACACTTTTAATTCATATTTTATGAGATATCCGCTAGTTAATACATCAACACACTCGAGCACGGCTCGTGCCCTTACCTATGGTTCAAATTAAAAATACTGTAAATTGTCATTTGAAAATTATGAAGGAAAAATTCATTGAGTAATCTCATCACTGTGAGCGTAATCACTATTTCACCGTTTCTGCTTGGCTCCTCGGCTAATTCTTCATACCCAGCTGGCGATGACCAAATTTAAAAGAAGCAAGCAATATTCTATCCATATGATGGTATATTGCCCCAATATAATATAATAATATATGGTGAATTACTTGTTATTGAAACTGGGCGACTGGCATTGTAGTGGTTTAGAACGCTTGCTTTCAACTCGGTCGCCCCGATTTCAAATCGCACAGCCACTAGCTGGAGTCCTTCGTTCAACTTCTTGAACATTCTTGAAGAAAGCCAACTGGTTTGTTTCCGGCCAGTTGGGATTCTGACTTGTTTCTTTATTCAAATATATGTTTCTGGCCATATTTGAGTCCCACAATGTAAACCACTGCGTCACCAATAATTTCTTGTTACCCCTAAATAGTTTTTTTTGAAGGCGATTAAAACATATCCGCTGTACGTAACGAAATTTCTATTAACATGTTTTACCTGTCTGAATTTTCACATCTCTGGATTATTTCTGACGACATTCTCAAAAAACTAGAATATGAGGTAAATAGATTTTACACACGGTGTCTCCAAAGTCTAAATTACTGAAGGTAACATCTGAATATTGCCATCTTTGCAAATTATTTAAACTTACGCAAGAAAAACCAGCTCAGCACGATCAGCTAAATTTTCCGATAAATTACTTGAAAAGTAAATTCGTAAGCGGCGCAACCCTCGAGTACATCAACGAAACCATACTGTAAACCAAATATTTTTGGGTAGTAGTGGATAATTAAAAGGTTTCTTTTGCTTTAGTTCTCGCATTACGCAAGACTAAGTTGTAGAACCCTCGACGGTGATCGAAATTTAGATATTTTTAAGTTTTTTTTTTTTTAAAATTTATAATGTGATTTCTTTTAGATCATAAATATCACCAAGTTGAATCATTTTTTCATAACTAGTTGTTTGTAATAATTTGAATCAAGTAGAAGGTATTAAAGGTGCCAAGCGTTGGCTTAAAAGTAGAAAGTGTCGGTCCAATTGAAATGAAATTGTCATAAGGCTACTAACCCGCTTAAATATTCAAATGTGTTACTTACAGACTTGGCTGATCATGACGTCTCCGCTTTACTTTAGCTTGCTATAGAAGATCCTTTTGGTAATTCGGTTACTTACGAAAAGAGAACCCGGAACGACTTTTGTGTTGTTAACACACTGAACATCGTCAAGATATTGATCCTTGGCCGACAGTTTATAATGTCACTCGATAGGTGCCCAATAAAACAAGATTGTTCTTAATTCGTAAGTTCGCTTGGTTATCAAACAAAAATAAAACACCAAAGTTCTATTAATTAGCTTTTTTTGTTTTGAATATTTTGCTTTAAAGAGCGACAGAAAGTGTTAAATGAGCAAAATACGTCAATGTTACGCAATTGCGCACTACAGCAAGTAACTAAGGAGCTCTTTTTTATTTTTATTTTTTAAAGAACATTGCGACCACCCGCAAAAAGTATAATCGACCTTTTCTGTATTTTATTAAACATAACTTCATAAAAGTCTTTTGCATTTTAGTCGTAAAATTAAAATCAAATTTTAAATTAGAGAACTCCGTAAGAGGAACATAAATGCCATCCGATCGAATCGCTGTCGGACTTCGTATACGCTTGTTTTTTTGTTTATTAATTTGAAAAGCGAAAAAAGCAGGGGAAAATGAAACCAAATTTGCGCTTTGTTTCTAAAATGACACTCTCAACCAGACAATGCGCAATTCCCACTGTTAAATGTATTTCTCAAAATTCGCGTATTTTTGTTTATAGCGGTCATTAAGTGCAAAACCGCATTCAAATATCGGTGTCTATGACGCCTAAGACTGTTTCGAATAACACGAAAGTGAAAACAGAACATTACATAATTTCAAATTGAACAAACAAACTTGAAATGAAAAAGTTGTAAACGCGCAATTTGAGGTAAAGATTACTTGACGTAAAAGATGGGCAATATCCTTTTACTTAATGTGGTTTCTGTCGAAAAGGTTTTATTGCCTTCGGCTGTTGAATACATACGGCTCCATCTTTTTGTTCAGTCCTAATAAACGCAAAATTATTCCGCCCGATGCATTGATGTGTTTTTCATTAACAAATTCCTATCAAATGCTTTGGATACAAACAGGATTAATTGTATAAACTGAAAGGGATTTTCGTTTAAAAGGATTATGAATCTACACCACAATGCTCTAGATTACCAGTTTTCAACACCCTTGACGGTTTGTTTGTCGATCCCACCATGATCCAATTAATACCCCTTTTGCAACTTGTGACGCACTCAGTCAAGAAATGTCAACTAACAACTCAGGACCTTTTTTCTCAGTTTTTTCTAGACATATCCATTTACCTTTTACCAAGTTGTTAAGTACAGATGTCTTACTTCAGAAATCATCGTCGTAGAAATCCGTGGCGGACTTGACAAAGAGGCCTGTATAGTCAGAAATTTGAATTTGCGTTTTTCGGAGATATGTGTTGTCTTCTCCACTGAAGACATTAATCACTAAATTTGTCATTTTCGATACTGGGTAGGACGTAGCACGGCATATACATATTTGCCTTCCAAAACAATTGCTAAGAGCAGCTGCTTGCTATATATAGCTAATTATTCAAATGTATACC